ATGCTCTACCCACCCCCACCCCCGGCCAACATCCTGCACCCCCTGTGGCTGAGGCAGACGTCCTGCCTTGCACCCTGGAAGTGCCTGGCGATCCACTGAGTTTCCAAGCACCCTTGTCGGGGAGGGTTGTCAGGCCTGGTGGCCTCCTGCTCTTCTCTATGTGAACACCTGTGTGAAATTGTGAAGCCTTGGAATAACTCAACATCACGCACTAATAACGATTTTAAAATCATTTTTCAGACCCCAGCTTCCTATAGGTCCTCTCCCTTGGGCAGTTCGGAAGGCAGTGGAGAAAGAGACAGGACCCGGGAGCAAGCAGGTGGGCCTAGCAGCAGGGTGACGATTTGGGAATCTGCTGCGCAGGGCTGCGGGTTTGAGGGTTTGCAGAAAGTTATGGGGTTGGACCTAAACGTGGGCAGGGAGGCAAAGCGGGAGATGCTGGTGGCTAGGAATGCCCTCTAGAAATGGGACTAGCTTCTGGTCAGAGCATCCTTTCCTCCGGGGAGGGAGTGATGTTCTGGGGGTGAAGTTGGCGAGAGGGCGCTTTAAGCAAAGGTGGTCAAATTCTTGTCAGTTGCCCGCAGGAATGGAAAAGAGAGCATCTTAATACCCTGTAGGCCAAAGCAGTCTCTACAACTGAGCTCGGCGGTGTGGGCCAGGGGGACTCCAGTGCATCCTTGAACCACAGCTTAGCTAACTCTGTCCCCTCCCCGAAATGAGCTACACCACAGTACAAGGGAATACTGTTGTATCATCAACATGATACTTTTGTGGTGCCATATCATCATATGCCTTGGAGCTCCTAGCCACCCCCCCCCACCGCCATTTCTTCCCTGAGGATTGAACCCAGGGCCTTGGTACCAAGCCACACATCCTCGGTCCCTTTTAAACTTTTACATTTTGAGACAGGGTCCTCTAAGTTTCAAAGTTGCCTGGCTGGCCTTGAATTCATGATCTTCCTGCTTCGGCCTACTACAGTGCTGTCTTTATTTATTTTTAAGAGACTTTAACCTGATTATTGTTCACAGACTTAAATGCCCAACCTTGGACCTTCAGCTCCTTCATACGTAGACTTGTAAGAAAAATGGTTTCCTTTGGAAGCTGAGGGAACGTGCATCAGGTTGGCAGGGTGGAAAGTCGGTGGGGTTTCTAAAGAATATCCTAGCAACTGGAAGGTTCTGTCTCTTCCACCGTTGGAGTAATAATGACCTTTCCAACTGTTTTTACAAAAGATGTTTCTACAATACACCCATGCCTCTAATTTCTTGCTCAAGGCCCTTAATATGTGGCATAAATACACAATCTTCGGGAAACACGTAGTCAAAGGATGTTCTCAAGGAAGAAATAAGAATGACTGCTGTTAGAACGATAAACTTTCTTTGCGTACTGGAAAGCAAAGGGACGGGGGGGGGGGGCTCCAGGATAAGTCCTTCTGGATTCCTCAAAGGCCGGCCCAGCGAGGGGGCTAGAATGCAGTTGAGAAACATAAAAAGGAAAAGTCAGGGCTCTCTGGAGGGCCGCTTGCTGACCTCAGCTGGCCGGAGTAAACCCCAATAAGGCCCATCTCCCCCATCCCCCAGCGGGCACCTAGGCAATCTGCCTCTCCGCACCTAGCATGCAGAAGGCCCACCTGCCAGGAGACTGGGTCCTAATCCGGCCGGGACCCTAAAAAAATTTCTCCCATGAGCTATTCCTGCAAAAGAATCCACACGGGACAGCCCCTCCCAGGAAGCATACTTGCCAAGGCATACTTTGTGGATCTGAGGCCCTTGGAACATCCCTGTGATTTCTGACAAGCTTTATGGGCAGGAGGAAGCCAGAACGGGTGCCCTATGTACCCAGTCACTTGGCCCAGTCACGCTAGAGCCTGGATGCCTGGAGTTTGGGGATAACCCGCCCTCTAAGGCGGCCACCACTTTGGTCCCGCAGTCAAGCCGCTGTCTCTCTTTCTAAGGTTGGGGCGACCTAGCTCTAGCTCCGGAGGGTGAGAAAGGAGGGAAACACTGAGTGAAGTTTCTAACTGAAACCAACAAACGGCGCTATTGTCGCGCCCTGCGTCCTGGGAGCCCCAAGCCCGGCCCAGATGGAGGGAGCCTTAGCTCTCTTGGGAGCGCCGGAGGCTGGGATGGGGAAGGGCGATAGGCTGTGTTCCCGGGGCTCGGATCCAGGCTTCGGCGTGCCACCCACCGGCTCCTGGGAGCCCCAGAGCTCGAGTGCTGCCCAGGGCGCCCTCTTCTCCCCAGGAGGTTGCAAAAGACCCGTCCTGGGTCCCTCCGCATTCTGCTTTCCTTGATGGAAAACTCCGGCCTCTGGGTGCGGAGTGCACGCCAGAGAGACAGCAGTTCACGCCTCGCCAGCCGCCCTGCCTCCCCGAGCCCTCTCCAGAACCGAGGCCACTTGGGCAATGCCACCTGCCGCGCGCCACTTTTCCAAACCACAGCTGAGCAGGTGCCCGACTCCTCACAGCTGGACGGGCCAAGAGAACTGTTTCCTCCGGCCCTTCCTCCTCACCTCCCCAGGCCCACAAGGCTAACCTTGCTTGTCTACTGAAGTGGGAGTTCGGGCTCAAAGTTTCCTCGGAAGTTTCGTGGGAAATTCGGCTTGGCGCTTCGGGCTGCGCCTACCACCCCCAAAGTCCCGAGGCTCGGAGATCCGTTTAATCACAGCCACCGCGGGAAGCTGAAGGAGTGGGAGAGGGTGCCTGATCCTGGCGAAAGACCTTTGTAAATCCGGCAAGAAGATATAATGTGAAAAGGAGCTAAACCACGGACTAGGTGTAATCCAGTGACAACCAGCCGCCGGGAGGAGAGATTTTGAGGAGGAGCGCGGGACTAGCCCCGCATCCTCTGCCTTGGAAAAGACGCGATCCAGGTGCTGTCACCACGATGGCTTACTTGGTCCTAAAAGTTGGCAAGAGTCCTGACATCTGTCAGGCTACTGGACGCCAGGCCGCGCGCCGGTTGGGTAGTTTCCTAAAACGCTTTTAGCAACAGCCTCGGGGGGCCCAGAAGAGCTCCCGGGGAAGGCGGCAGGAGGGCAGGGGCCACTGCACATCGGCTGGGCTGGCTTCTTTAGGGGACAGTGGATTTGCCTCAGATGAAAACTGACTCTGTCAGCCAGGTTGCTGGGAAAACAGGTGCAGGTGAGGATCGCAGTGCGCGCGCGTCCGAACACAACACTCATTTCTACCCACGCCCGGAACCTAAAGTAAACCAGTTTACTTTCAAACCCAAAAGCCGTGCACCCACTCAACTGGTCGCTACCCTTGGCTGCGGAAGAGTCAGACCAGATAGAAAATAAACTCAAGGGGCCGGTTTCAGAGCCCCAAACTTCCGGAAGGTGATGGGAGCTGAGAGCCGAGATTCAGGCGGCAGCAGTGTGCTTTGCTGAGAGGGGCCGGCCTGAGCTGCGCCCTCCAAGCCGCCGCGGCTTACTTTTTAGTTAGTGCAGGAGAGAAAGGGGGAAGAGCCTGGCGTGCAGGCGTCCGGGGAATCGCTAGGTCTTGCATTAAAGCTAAAAGGCTAGAAGCCTGGGACACGGACACACACACGCGCGCGCGAGCGATTATGTTTTCCTTTTGGTTCCCCACCTTTCCACCGGGTTAAGGGGAGAGGCGAGACCCCACACTGTGTGACACCTTATTTCGGGTTCTGCCACAGCTGTGCAGGTGGCATCTCATTCCCACTTGCTGCCTCCTCGGGCGGCTCCGGGAGTTTCAAATGCTGTGCCACTCGTTTGGGCTGGCGCAGCCAGGGTTCCGGTGCCGCTCCTCTGTGGCAGACAACCCGACAAGCGATGGAAGGTCCTGCTCCGAGTCGCCGCTGGGCTCCAGTTAGGAAGGCTGTAAAACAAGAAAGGAGGGGCGCGGAGTCCGTTAGCAGCGCCTGCTCCCGGGGGAAGCGGCGCTACGGCGGTCCTGGCAGGTGCGTGGCCAGCGGAGGGGCCCGGCCGTCCACTCATAGGACGGCTCCGGCTCCGGCTCCGCTCCGACCACGGTCCCCCCTCCAAGAAACTTTTCTTTCACTCTGAGAGGCTCCGTGTTGCCATGCAAACGGATTTTCCAAGGGGCCCGACCCTCCCCCTCAGGGGCATCGGACTGGAAAAAACGAAATGGCCAGAGAGCAGAGACAAAAAGGGGCCGCTAAGCGGGGGCCGGGAGCGAGAGAGCGGAGGCCGGTTCAGTGCCTCGGACCCACACCTACTCCCCACGCACCGCGAGCGAGTGGCGCCTCCGGGGGCGCGGGCGGGGGCAGTGGGCTGCTCGCGCTGCTGCACACCCCGGGAGAGCCTCACCGGCGGCCGGTGCACTCCGCGGTGCTGAAGCCTGTCTGTCGTGCCGCACCCCGTCACCACCACCGCCTCCCCCGTCCTGCTCGCACTGACCCTCCCGGCTGAGGATGTGGGAGGCCACCGACCAGTTCCAGGGAGGGCTTCTCGAAGGCACAGACCAAGGCACCTCCATGGGCCCTGGAGTCCCCCAAGCCAGCCCGGGCAGCTGGTGGTGCCCAGTGTCCCAACGCTGGCAGCAGAAGCGGTCGGGAGTCCTCCGTGGGGACCCCGCGGTAGCTCGGCACGTTGGCCCCGGGATGAGGCGTCCGTAGGCCTTGACAGGGTTACAAAGTAGTTTTCTGAACCCCGCGGCCACCGCCCCTCCCCCAATCCTGCTGGCGTGCCCCCCCCACCTCCTTGGGTTTCGTTCTTTCCAACTTTTTGAGACCCTAATTGGTGGTCTGTGAGTGGGTCTCCAGGTCTCCCGCCTCCTGGTTAACTCTCGTCACGTCACTCGGGCCAAGAGGGGCGTGGGGGTGAACGAAAGGGCTCCCCGAACTTTTTCTTTCCAGCAGGGCCAAAAGGGGACTCGGTGATGATTGGCCAGGACTCATCACTACAAGCCTGTCAATCACGGGGCCTACGGGTGGCGAGGGGCGGACCGAGCCCCAACCCCCGGGGATCCGAGCAGGTATATAAAGGGCCCCGGCAAGCGCCCGGCCAGCCTGCGAATGCGACCGGCTCGAGACTGCGCCTCAGGTGCGAGTCGCCCGCGGCTTCCCGCTGACTTGGCGCTGAGCGCTCCGGCCCGCCTGCCCTTCCCGCCCGCCCCGCTGGCCCACCGGCCCCCAGGCGCCCCTCCGACGGAGTCCCCTGGCCTTTTCACCGTGGCCGCTCCAGCCCCGGGAGCGCCTTCTCCTCCCGCCACGCTGGCGCACCTTCTTCCCGCCCCAGCCATGTACAGCTTGCTGGAGACGGAGCTCAAGAACCCGGTGGGGCCGCCCGCCGCAGCGGCGGGAACCGGAGGCCCCGCAGCCCCCGGCGGTTCAGGCAAGAGCAGCGCGAACGCAGGCGGCGGCGCGAACGCGGGCGGCGGCGGGAGCGGCGGCGCGAGCGGCGGGGGCGGGGGCAACGAGCAGGACCGGGTGAAGCGACCCATGAACGCCTTCATGGTCTGGTCCCGCGGGCAGCGGCGCAAGATGGCCCTGGAGAACCCCAAGATGCACAACTCGGAGATCAGCAAACGCTTGGGCGCCGACTGGAAACTGCTGACCGACGCCGAGAAGCGGCCGTTCATCGACGAGGCCAAGCGACTCCGCGCCGTGCACATGAAGGAGTACCCGGACTACAAGTACCGGCCGCGCCGCAAGACCAAGACGCTGCTCAAGAAGGACAAGTACTCGCTGCCAGGCGGCCTGCTGCCCCCCGGCGCCGCCGCCGCCGCCGCCGCCGCCGCCGCCGCCGCCGCCGCCGCCGCCGCCGCCGCCGCCGCGGCCGCCGCCGCCGCCGCCGCCAGCAGCCCTGTGGGCGTGGGCCAGCGCCTGGACACGTACACGCACGTGAACGGCTGGGCCAACGGCGCGTACTCGCTGGTGCAGGAGCAGCTGGGCTACGCGCAGCCCCCGAGCATGAGCAGCCCGCCGCCGCCGCCCGCGCTGCCGCAGATGCACCGCTACGACATGGCCGGCCTGCAGTACAGCCCCATGATGCCACCCGGCGCCCAGAGCTACATGAACGCCGCGGCCGCCGCCGCCGCCGCCTCGGGCTACGGGGGCATGGCGCCCTCGGCCGCCGCCGCCGCGGCCGCCGCCTACGGGCAGCAGCCTGCCACCGCCGCCGCCGCTGCGGCCGCGGCCGCCGCCATGAGCCTGGGCCCCATGGGCTCGGTGGTGAAGTCGGAGCCCAGCTCGCCGCCGCCCGCCATCGCGTCGCACTCGCAGCGCGCGTGCCTCGGCGACCTGCGCGACATGATCAGCATGTACCTGCCGCCCGGCGGGGACGCGGCCGACGCCGCCTCGCCGCTGCCCGGTGGCCGCCTGCACGGCGTGCACCAGCACTACCAGGGCGCCGGGACTTCGGTCAACGGAACGGTGCCGCTGACCCACATCTGAGCCCCGGCCTGCGCTCGTCGCCGTCGCCCTCCGCCCCCACCCTGCCCCGCACCCCAAGTTGGGACGCCTTGTTGTTTAGCTTTGCTTGCCTGGGACTGTTGCCTTGTACCGAAGATGGGGAGGACAGAAAGTTTGGCTGTAGCTGTCGGGGTTTTGTACAAAAGCAAAAAGAAGTCCGGAGCAGCGGAAATGGGACTTTCTAGAGCTGCCTGCCCCTCGCCGCCGCCCCTCCCTCCCCCTCTGTAGGCTGGGAATCGCTGCGAGGTTTGCGAAGAAAAAGCAGCCCCCCTCCTCCTCCCGGGTTCTTCAATTGCATTTGAAAATGTTGTCTCGTTAGTTTGCTGTTAAGGGAGGAGTAAGTGGATGGGAGAAAGCAGACTCTCGGGTGAGGCTGGCCTGGAAACTGCGACACCCCTGCCCCCAGTCGCGTCGCATCTGTTTTCCTCATGCTGTTTTGGGGGGCTGACCGCGCCGAGAGGCGCGACAGCTAAAGCCAATGTTAATTTATAGCCAGGTGTGCGTGTGTCTCCCGCCTCGCCGCCCCTGGCCGCGGGACAGCTTCTGTCCAGTCAGCTTTTAGGCTGTCGAGTTGGTGATTTTTTGCCGTGATTTGTTTGCTATTTCGTCACGCTAATGTGTTCGGGGCTATTTTGTTTCAGGTTTTTCAAGATTTTACTCTTAATTCCCAAATGAGAGATCAATAAATTTTATAACCAACAAGATGGAGTCCTGATACTTTTGCGGGTCGGAAACTTTAGGGGCGGGTTGGAGAGGGAGCCAACACACTGGGATTTATAACCCAGGTTCCACCCGGAGGGCGGAGTGGGGCTTGGGGGGGAAGCGAGCGTGATCTGAAAGGGTTTCTTTTTAACTCCTGGTGAGCCAACATAGACCAGCTCCCAGTGCTCTGGAGCGAGAGAAACTCTCCCGCTGAGAAGCGGGTTGGCTCCGGAGAGCGCCGCCCGGGAGCTGGCACACGCTGCCTGCGGCACACGGCCCGCGAGAGCGGCCACGCAGTTGATGAACTTCCCGGGAAGGAGTGGCCGCTGTACAGCCACGCGGGGCGGGAGCTCGACCAGAGAGGGGGCACTTTTACCTTTGTGCACTGGGCCGGAGACACTTGAGCCCACCTGAAATGTTTACAAAACGAAAAACCTTGGGAAATCTCAATGATCCTATTAAAATGAATGGCTACAGGCATCCCCGGCAGGAAATGAATACATTTCAACCCTAGTAGCTGAAGCACCGCCGGAATAAGTACTCCATGCCGCCGGAAGATTTGGTTTGTAAAAGTACAAAAGTCCGCGCTAGATTTGGGAGCCTTCGAAGACTCCTCCCAGGGCTTCTTGTTTTTAACTCGTCAGCGAGGTCCACTTGCTTCCTGGAAGACGTTCCCTCTCGTTCTGAGCCTCGGCCCGCCCTCTACCCCTTTCACCCCACTTTCCTCCGGTCCTTGACCCTTGCCCATTCCACTGTGTCCCCAAGAGCCTTTCCTTTCGGCCCGACCGACCGCGCAGCCCCAGCGCGTCTGTTTCGGGCCTAGGAAAAAAATAAATAGAACCAGTGTTTTTTTGCCCCCTCCTCAGCTATTGGAGGTGATTTCCTTAATCCATTTAATCCTGTTACCTCGCTATCCCAGAATAACTAAACTCTGCCTTTCCAATAAGCTTTGGCCTGGTGTACTGTTTTTATCCTCATCCACTCCTGACCACAGGTTCCTTTGCTTGAGGTCTATTGGGACCCTGGGCGACGGGTCTCCCGTAAATTGGCCCAAATTCCACGTATCCAGCCGGCTTCCTTTGTGCGGAGCAGCCATTCACCTGCAGGCCGGGGCGGGCCTGGGGGGGGGGGCGGGGGCCTTCTGAGGCTTCGGGGGTCCTGCCCGCTTTTTACACATCACTGCTGATCCTGGAGACTTAAACCACTCCGCCTCTCCTAGAAAGGTCGGGTCACCCTGGGAAGGTAGAGCCACCCCGCCCACGAAGACATTAGCGCTGCCCTCCCCCTCTGCGCCCCATCCCCCACTGTCCAGCCGCCGAGGATAGGAGGGCACCGGCTTAATTTACAGAGCCAGACACTTGCTCCCCACCCAGTGCTCCTCCCCAGGCCTGCGGCGCTCGCTAGGGCTAGGCCTCCAGCTCTCCCTGCTCTCCCCAACCCAGGGCCACAGCCCTGGAGACCCTCCTGGCCGCTCGGGGCTTCTTGCCTTACCATTGTGATTGGAGCAGAGGGGCAGGCGGCCCGGTTCGTAAGTCTCATCCCCGGGGCTCCAAAGCCCAGGGGCGGAGGACACTTGTCTTATGCACCTCCCTAGTCGCATATTTCTCAGTGTTTGGCATTAAATAAAATATGTCCGTAGGTGACTCTGGGACTCCAAAATTGCTAGCGAGTGTGGACTAAGTTTGGGCTGAAACGACTCCAGGAAAGGGAGGGTAAAGCAATTCCCCGCAAGGACGCACGGACGGGGCGGTGCCAACGGGGAGTAAACTCTGACACCGCTTCTTTCGGAGAGCCCATTGTACTGCTGCCTTCTTAGAGTCCCAGGGTCACTCTTTCAGCGTGTCTCGCATACTGCTCACTCCCTCTCTAAACATCCACGGCTTTGTGCTGCACTTTGTCTGATTTCCAAATTGCCTTTAAGAAGAGAAAAGACTTCATCCATCAGCACATTTGCAGGATTTAAACCCAGATGCGAGATCATGTTTTTTAACTTCAGCAGCAGGGAAGAGAACTGAGCGGAACTGGACTGAAGCTTCCACCCTCTAGGCCAGCGTACAAAAGGGAAAACTCCCCTCCCCTGCACAGGTCTACCAAAGCCAATGCACAGCAATCCGTTCTGCAGATTTAGGGTTCTGGAAAGGTTTAAATGGACCTAAGGGCCCTGTGGCTAAAACAACAATAGCAACACTTGGTCATACTCCAATTCCTTCTGCCTCCTTGCTTGTTTTACATGTGAGGAAAATGACCCCGAAAGCTCAAGGCTGCTTAGCTCATTCTAGTGCAGCCCTGCAGAACTAGGCTCCCAGGCCTGGGAGAATTCTCTCTGCACTGCCCGCTACAAAGAGAAGAGAAACCAATGAAATCACAACCCCAGCTGCCTCTCAAGCCTCTAATCCATCAAGGACTCCAGAGAAAAGAGGTAATTCCTGCCAGAGAGGCACCTAGTCTTTACCACTTGGCCACTGGGTCCTTAGAGAAGGGGAAAGACTAGTTCATCTTTTATCTCCCCAAACAGAAGCAGAGCTACTTTTTGGTGAGAATTATCCCTCCTAGAGATTTGCTCTTCTGTTCTCTCTACAACTTCCCTCACTTATTTCCCTCCTAGAAAGCTATGGGTATGTTGAGATTCCAATGAACGGGCAGAGATTTATAAACAAAAATGTTTGTCATAGCTGTTCTTATGAAGCTTAAAAGTTACAACCAACCCAAATGTCCAGTAAATAAGGAAAGGTTAATTAAAATATTTTTTTGCAAAAGAGTACTTTTCAGATTTAAAATTGTTTATGGAGAGGTTTTAGCAACACAGGAAAGAGCTTAACACAAAGTGAAAAGACACTGAAAACTATATTCAGTATGCCTGACCTTGACTGTTTAAAGTAAGTATATATGACTGGGAAAACATGCAAAAAATGCATGGTAGTATTATGAAAACTGGCTAGGCTTCCTTCTCCTACCTTCCAGTTTTCTCTACTAGGACTGTATTCCTGTTATCATTAGAAAAGACAAGTTGAAAATATATTCTTTCCCGATGGTGAATACAGGGACTTACCTCCTTGTGAAAGAAGAAAGTTCTAGCCTTTCCTTCAGCTATTTCAGGGTGAGGAGGGGGCAGGGAGCCTGAGGAGCAGTAATCCCCCCGCCTTTCTCCGTGTTGGGGCCTGCAGTTAATACAAGCTGGAGGAGCACACCAGAGAGACCCCCTGCCAAGTCCCCTCCTCAGTAACCAGGAGCTGGAGCAGATTAGTGAAGGCCGGTCATTCTTCAGACCCACTCACTGGAGCAAAAGACCTCCTTGGGTGCCAAGCTGAACAGCCTGGGCTGCAGGAGCAGAGGCTGCTGAGGAACCTCAAGGCACAGAGACGCAAGGGCCTGAGCAGCCCACACTGTCCCCTTGGGAGGGGCCATGGCATAAGCCCAGGGATTGGATGCCAGGGGAGGAGAGGCTGTGAGCACCCAGAGGCTGAATGGAACATAACACACAATACTTTGTCTCTTCCCATCCCCACCGTCCTCATCCACAACACTCTCAAGCCTTGTTGGGCCACTGCCATGGCCTCCTGCCTTTCTCTGTGCTTCCACCCTACTCCTCCATCCTTTCTGCCAGCATTCAAACACAGACCTGAACTGTGTTCGATATTGGATGACAGACCCTATCATTTCTTACATAACTTTCTAGTGGCTTCCTATTGAGTGCTCTTGGTAGAAGTATCTCAGCTCCCCCAAAGCCTCGCCTCATCTCACTCCTGCCCACCTTTCTAGGCTTAATTCCTTGGACCTCTACTCTTCCCTTTCTCACCTCAGCCAGGATCCCTTTGAGAAAATTTCAGAGAATAAATAAATCAAGGTTTGTGATAATTTTACACCTAAACAGATTTTAAAGTCCAATAATTGTCCTAAAGATTACCATGCACAGCACATATTTCATTTCTTGTATCAACAGGATTTCCCCAAATCTACATATCAATCCCAGATTTCCTAACAATTAATGAAACGTACTATCAAAAATGTATGTTTTTTGTTCCTGCTTCAGGGCTTTTGAACTTGCTGTTCCCTTGTCCCAGGAAGATCTTTTTCAAGCTGCTCCCCCAAATATTCCATTGTCTGCCTGAATATCTCAGCTCAAGCATCACTTCTCCTGGGATACTTTCTTCCAGAATAGAACAGAGCCCCTAGTTATGTGCTCTCACAGCTCTGAGTACCTCTTCCAAGTATTGATCCTAGCAACCACTTAACATGCATTTGTGTGAGTCTGCCTATTGTCTGTCTCCTATAGTGTAAGTTCCATAAGTGCAAAGACTACATCTAGTTTATTCACCAATACTAAGCACAACACTTATACCAGAGAAGGCCCTCAAGAATATATGTGGAGCATTAACTGCATGTTTAAGGAATAGGTGCTCTGGGGGCTTGAAGCCAATGGGCTCTTTACAAGCCCTTGAAAAATCAAAATTGAATTTACAACTCTGGTCTATCCCTAACCATCCCTAAGCAGTGAGATTTTGAGGACATGACTTACATCAATTTTCAATTTCTTCAGAGGTCAAGTGGGCTCGACAATATCTCCGGATTGTTGTGAGGGTTCAATAAAACGATGCTTTGTGGGTTGGGTGGTGCCAGGCATGCAGTCATTATGCTCTGTGTTAGCTATAATAATCACCTTTTCCATAAACCTCTATCGAGATTTCAGGGCGGAACTGTGCCTGCTGGCTAGATCCATACTTCTGACTGTCCTGAGTGATGCTTCTCATTGCTGAGGCTAGCTCTTGGTATAGAAGGAAAGAAAGCAAAATAAGACTTGATCACTAAAAATGAATAACTGGCTTAGTGTTGTTGTTTAATGGTAGAGCACTTGCCTAGTGAAGTCCTGGGTTTCATCCCTATCCGTCTCTCTCTCTCTCTCTCTCTCTCTCTCTCTCTCTCTCTCTCTCTCTCACACACACACACACACACACATACACACACACAGGCAAGAATAAACCATGACACAAAAAC